ACTGGTATTTATTTGCTTTTTAAAGTTTTAAAGGTAATTTCTCTATGTCTCTAAAAAAGGTTATAACTTCCCCTTCCCCTTCCCCATCCCCAACGCTACCACCAAAAACTCATCTGATTGACTAATTCCTTCCCCTATCATAACCACGAAATCCACTAGATATTCAATTTTGTCATATTTAAAATTAACTCCCCTTAAAGGTTATATTATTAAAAAAATAATCAAAAGATTGTATTATTATATTAAAGAAGAATGAGTCAAAGATTGTAATTTTTCCATATTAATATAAAGATAGTCATTTTAAAGATTATTAACATAGAATTTTCAGCATGGATGGATATGAGATTCATATAAGGCCTAAGGGCATGCAGATCAGCTGTGGTTTTCAACTGAAGGTAGGAGTACCTTAATTTATTCACGTGCATATTGAATTTATGGCCATTGGCATGGGAGACAGGTCCATTGCCCCATTGGTACAATGACCATACGTTCACATGGAAAAATAATGGATGCACATTATTCATTTTGCACGAGCTCTATAGTACGAAAATTTGTGAGCAAAAGTACTCAATCCCGATGACAACACAAAAAATATTAGGTGATATGCATACATCATAGTATACACGATTTTCAGGCGACATCATAGGCATTTCGACATGGCAGTTCTTGGACTATTTGGCACTGATTTTAGGATCGGTTTTGGTCAATTTCAGGATGGCTTCAGGTGACTTTCTCGGGAAGGAAAAGGGCAGTTTTTCGGCGATTTTTAGGCGATACTTCCGACGGAATTTCGTGTATTACCTCCAGTCCAAATTACTCGCAACTTTGGGGTTTTTATTTGTGAGATATAAAATATTCTAAAGTTGCGAGTAATTTGGACCGGAGGTAGTATATATATAATGGACTTATAGCATAATAAAACTTATTTTTGGTTGATTGGTAAGTAAAAAGGTTCGACTGGACTAGAATCTCTCAAAGGTTCACCCAAAATGGGTTACGGGCTAGGCCCTTTAAGAAGGGGGAAGGGTAAAGAAATTCCCACCCAAAGCCTCTAGTGGGGCTTAGTTAAACAACTCTAAGTCCCTGATATGCAAAATTAGTATGCACTTTTGTTACTGTTTTTGTATATTTGATTCACTATAACTCAATATCATCTACTAGGTTTTTCAAAAAAGAAAAAAAAGATCATTAGTAGGTTAGAAAAGAGAAAAAAAAATACAACCATTGTGATATTAGGAGAATTGTACCCTAAACAATTACTACCTCCGTTTTTTTATTAGTTGACACGTTTTGACTTTAACACTATTCACACACCTCCCTTTGACCATGTTTTGTGATTTATATGCAAGGAAAAATATAGTCAAGTGATATCTTGTTAGATTCATCACAATGTACATTTTCATAATATTAACTTTTTATAATTTTTTCTTATCGATAATTAAAGATATTAATGATTTAATTTGTGTATTGACAAACGTAATTAAAGAAACGTGTCAACTATAAAGAAACGGAACGGAGGAAGTATTACATAGCAGTTAATGGGTATTAAAAATCACATTTATGTTAATTGAATTGGTATCATCTCTATTATAATATAATTGACATAGTTTGACTTCTTGCCCTTTTTATTTATTATTAACCACATGCATGTATATTGCATGTATAGTGTGTTTATGCAATCACTATCATGAAATTTCATAGGTTTTAATAATAAATCTTTATATTAATTGTCAAACTTGTAGGTTAGATAAATATGTTAAACGGTGTCAGCTATTCAAAGACGTATATAGTAATTTTTTTTGTTGATATGTTACTTCGTATTAATAACTTTGACCATGCCAAAGTTATTCTCAATTGTGTTAGCTTGGTCGTGCGCTAGTCTGTTAAGCTAATTGGTGTGCATGTACCCATTGTAACAGCTTTTAATGTCTTTGATGAGAGTTATAGCGAGTCAAGGGACTGAAGAAAAGCTCATAGGAGAATCTCAAAAGAACTTGAACATTCTAGAAGAAAACATGAAGGTTATATTTCCATATGATGCACCCTCCTGTAATGAAGATATGAGGATGCTAGACATATTGTTATGCGCTATTCCAAGCTCAATAAAAGCCGTAGTAGATGCCTTAAATTTGAAGTTAATGGAACCACAAAAATATCCATTGACAACCTCAAGAATGGCATCTCTAAGGGGCCTCAGTGTGGTAAAAGACACTGCACCACCTCATGAGAGGTTGGTCAAATTGTATCGACCTCGTAGGAAGTTATCTTCCAATCTATAATACCAAGTGCAATCCCTCATTGCATGGTTTATATTGATACACAATATTACCAAGGCTCATATAATTACGTATTCGTGATTTTGTATACTATAAATAAGTGAGTCTTATGATAATACATTATGAGAGTTGTATGACTTTTATTTTCACGTTTAAGGGTTTGTTCACATTTACTGAAGCGAGCTGAACTGAACTGATTAGAGCTGAACTGAACTGAAATAAACTGATTAGAGCTGAACTGAACTGAACTGAACTGAAATTAAGTAAATGTGAACAGGCCCTAAGTTATGACACATTTATTTTATTTTTTGATGTTAAATTTTCTCTATTTCTACCTCTTGAAATTTTTAAAAAGTTTAGCATATGTTATTGTTACACCAAAGTGGTTTGAGGAAAACCTCATTTCTTGATAATGCCAAGGAAATCTATATCTATATTATTATTAAAACTCCAAGATAAGGAGTGTCATTTTGCCATTTGTCAATTCTTTTTTGTCATTTCGCCACATCACTTTAAAATTTTTGCCACGTCACTTTTGCAATTGTAATATTGTATCTAAATAATGTGTTTGATAATAATGATCACTTTAAATTTTTTGCCACGTCACCTTATAATAATGATCAATCAAATATTGATTCCAAATTTAAAGAAAGCTAAGAGAAGATGTTAGTTACTTGCAAACCAATAAGCTAGCCATTATTAGTATTTAGTTTGGTCACAATTGATAAGATGAATAATTAAAATGTTTTAAAATTGCTTTGACCCATTTAATTTGTAAAATATGTAACCGATATGTATTCAATATATTTATCCCTATAAATTAACTATCAAAGGAAATGATATACTAAATGGTCTAAACCTCTTGGAGAAACATTTTACTAGGCCAGTATTAAGCTAGGTAAGTATTTGTTTACTCTACCTACCTTGGAATGCAATGGATATATTTTGCATACTTAACTCATAATTTTACACTTTTAATAAATCACCCCAAATTAATTATGGGCTATATATGTTTTAATAAGTAGCATTTTGGTTTGATGATTGCGTAATATGTAAGAATTGCTATATTTTAATATGAGATTTCATTGGTTGATTTTCTTTATAGTTCACTCAAAGCTCTAAAAGTTAGTGCGTGTAAAATTTTTCATTATTCACTACCTATGCTCGGTGGTTGAATATTGGTTTGATGATCCATTCGTGCATCCAATTTGAAAACAATACTACGGAGTACATTTTTTTAAAAAGGATATAATCCATGTAATTATTTATCATGTACGTAATTGAATATGAAGAAGATAAACAAGCCCGGGCATTGCCCGGGTCACTAACTAGTTCCTTGGTATAATTGTATAAAGTAGGAAAAATAATGCTTGTTGCTTTGATTGTAATTCACATTTATTGAGCACGTACTCTACAGTTCTTTGTCAGTTTTCGTTAAAATTACGGTCATTATATTAATTTTAAAAATTAAATCAATAATTTATAATAAATTTTAATATTAAAAAATAAATCAAAATAAGCTAATAAAAGATTAGTATAATGAACACGTACTTTTTGTAGTGTACAAGTCTATTAAGAAAAATATATTAAGACTTTTTTTAAAAAATAATGAATGAATAATAAATTTGTAGTGTACAAGTCTAATAAGAAAAATACTCTTTATATGTTCGAAACTTATTACATACACTAGCTAGCTTATTATATACACTATCTAGCTACATGGCTACATATATAGCTAGGGCTGGCAATTCAGTTCGAATCTGACCTTATCTCGCCCCGATCTAAGGGAAAAAATCTATTGTGCATCCAAGAAAAAAGTAATTTGAGTCCGACTTCGTTAACGCGGTCGGATCCCGCAAAAAATTCGAGATAAAAAATCCGACTCCAATGGATTATTTGACTCTGATGGATTGTGAATTTGGTTGTGGGTCGTGGTGGCAGTGGGTGTGGATTGCAAAGGCCCAAATAGCCTAATTTCTCAAAATATATATATTGGATAAACAAAAAAAAACTCGTAGTTGGAGTCAAAGGCCAGTTATTGAAGTCGGTGTTGGATTCGAAGTTAGATTTACCCTCCGCCATCCTGTAGGGTCGAAATCAGATTTAACATAATCCATTATACCTATTTGTAGCAGACTAGCAAGTAGGTGGGATATGAGTAATTACTAGGAGTATTTTTATAATGGTTCTTTCAGTTGGAGTTTAGGTAGAGAACTCTAAATAAATTGTTCAAAAGAGTTAATTTCTCCCTTGTCAACGTATTTTTCATTACTTCTAAAATTAAGCCAATTCCTTGATTTATGCTCAATAAGTCAAATTGCTTTAAACTTAATTGGAGTATTTAAATGCTAGCCGTATTTGGTCTAATTTATGACCATATTCGTTGTATCTGGTTCACTCTCATAACTGTATAAACATCTGCTTTTGTCCCCTTTTGGACACAGAAAAAGTGAAAAATATCCTCTCTTAAAATGATTCTTTATGACCTCCTTTTCTATTGAGCATTGTTCAAAGGTATTTTCAATCTAACTCTCTGAGTCCGTGTGTACATGTGCGGGGCAAATTCGACTTTAGGGCAGTGATCTATTGTCACGCCACGACATTTTCCAGATAAACCTTTTAAATACTTTAATTGCTATTAGTCATCTTTCCTACACTTTCCACGTAATATTAAAACTTTGGCGTAACTGAATTTTTTGAATTAATAAATGTCCATACAGCCATGCTGCATTTCTTTTAAAAAAAAAAAAGAGGTTAAAATGTCTGATAAAAAGTTGGTGCGTAATGCGTTAGCCGTTAGCCTCATGTGGAGGATTGTGGAGCATAATATTGTATATTTTCACTACGTGGATTGGTTACTCAATGCAAAATTTGTGGACAATAGATGGCCAAGATTACATGTTGTCAGTTGCAATTCAATTTTATGGATAAAAATAAAGCCTAATTAATCATCGACGGTCGACCCACCCATCATAATTGTCACGTTCATAAAGCATCAAGCATATATCATAGTAAACCAATCAAATTTTAATTACCAAATTTTAATTTTTTTTACGAACAAATTCAACCAAAAATTATGGCAGAAACAAAGGATTTGAAGTTGCATGGAATGTGGGCAAGTCCTTGGGTTAGAAGGGTAACAATTGCCCTTAAAATTAAGGGTATATCCTATGAATACTTTGAGGAAGACTTGAAAAATAAGTCTCAATTGCTCCTCAAGTATAATCCAGTTAAGAAGTTGGTTCCAGTGCTTGTTCATCAAGGGAGACCTATTCCTGAATCACTGGTTATTCTTGAATATATTGATGAAACTTGGACAACTTCACCAAAACTCTTCCCTTTTGATCCTTATCAACGAGCTAAAGTTCGGTTTTGGGCTAGTTTTATCGATCTTCAGGTAGTTATTAATATGCTTGCAATTTAGTTTTGTGTAGTACTATTAGTAAAATGTTGCATTTTAGCCTACATTTATTGTGTTATCTTGTTAAAATCCATCCCACATTGAAGTATCGACTAAAATGCCTTAAAAAAAAAGTCTTAGCTTACGGAGTTAATCTTGATAATTTTAATTTTACAATGGAATCATTTCGGATTTTATGAAGTCACAGTTTAAATTATAGTTAGTTCATGTAACCGATCCCATTATATACCAAAATTAAGTACGTCCTTAATGGTGTATGTGTATGCACAGATATTTGAGAAACTTCGGGATGTTGTCAAAGCCCCTAGCGATGATGAAGAGGATAAAATCATCAAAGAAATCCAAGATAATATGAACAAATTGGAAGCAAATGTAAAGGATTTACATTCAGGAGGTACACATGTTAGTGGTGAAAGTATGGAAATCCTAGACGTTTTGATGATCACTTTGTTGCCAATAATAAATGGTGTTGAAGAAGCTATTTCTATCAAATTCATACACCCTGAAAAATTTCCCTTGGCTTTTTCATGGATGAAATCCGGTGATGGACTACCAATTGTTCAAGAATCTGCTCCAAATCATGAAAATCTGGTCAAGTTTCTAAGAAAACTTAGACAACTATTTAGAAGAGTGTAATTTTCTCCAACTTTTTGACATCAATTTTATGCTCTACTTTATCTTTATGATCAATGAAAGAATTTTGACTAGATGTTCGTTGATTACATACTATGTATTAATAAAATTGTTGTTGTATATATGTAACAGTTTGTCACGTCTCTAAGAAAAATTATGTCTAGTTTGGTAATTGAAGAAGAAAAGAACAAGAATGTCAAGGTGAATTTGAACATTTTAGGAGAAAACAGGAAGGTTTATTATTTTTCCATGTAACTCACCTTCCTGTAGTGAATATATGGAGCGATTGCTATCAAGGATCAATGGCACCTATTTGTGACCTTGCAATGGTAAAAGGCACCACCCAATCTCATGGGAAATTGATTGAATTTTTTCGAGCCTATAGACATATTAATTCCAATATATAGCGTATATTGTAACGTTGCAATTTCAGTTCTTTTGAAGAAGATCTAAGAAACAATAGATATAACAAAAGTCCCGCAAAGTCTAGCTAATTCTTCTATTTTAACTTTTTACACTAGAATATTTCAAAATAAAAGTGTCACTACTCCTTATGCTTTTCCTAAATGGCTTAATCGAAGTGAATATACGAAATATTATATGGTTAATTATTAATAGGACACACTTAGTGGATTGGAGATGAATAAAAATAGAGAATGAATAAGTGGGTTTGCAAATGAAAAATTTAACAAATAAGGAATGAAAATATATAAAGACATCATCTTTTAATACTCGTATATCGTATGAGAGATATGATCGTATGAGAGATATGAGACCATCTTTTAGAGGCGTCTGATATCAAACGAAGGGAGAAGTTGGTGCAGCACCAGCACAATATATTTCCTTATATTGGTTGGTTGCTCAAATACAATTATGTGGACAGCAGAAGGCCAAGGTTTATCTTGTCAGATCCAAGATAGTGCTCATGGCCTTTTAGGTAAGCCTCACTTTAGCATCTATCTACCTAACTAGTCATATCTACCAATATCATAATTGTTACCTTCATAAAATATCAAGCATATATTCTATAGTTTCATATACCAAGTAAAAAATAAAAAATAAAAAAAATTAGCAAAAAACATTATGGCAGAGACAAAAGAAGAGGTGAAGTTACATGGCATGTGGGCAAGTCCTTGAGTTAGAAGGGTAACAATTTTCCTTAAAATTAAGGGTATATCCTATGAATACTTTGAGGAAGACTTGAAAAACAAGAGTCAATTGCTCCTTAAGTATAATCCAGTTAAGAAGTTGGTTCCAGTTCTTGTTCATCAAGGTAGGCCTATTCCTGAATCTTTGGTCATTCTTGAATATATTGATGAGACTTGGACAAGTTCACCAACACTCTTACCTTTTGATCCTTATCAACGATCCAAAGTTCGGTTTTGGGCCAATTTTATCGATCTTCAGGTACTTATACTCACTACGATTTTGTGTAGCACTATTAGTACAATGTTGCATTTTTAACCTAGATTGATTATATTGTGTTATTTTGTTGAACCCCCCTCAACGTTATAGAGCTCATTTTTAAATACATTCATGTTGATCAATGCCTAATGTGACAATATTGCTAATTATACAATGGTGAAAAATTTAAAATCACATAAGCTTATAAGCCTCACTGAGCTAATCCTTAAATTGTCAATTGATTTTATGATGAAATCTTTTAAATCTTGGTTCATGTAACAGATTCCATAATCTACAACTGGCGAGTCACTAATTATGTATGTGTGTACAGATATTTGAGAAACTTCGGGATGTTGTCAAAGCCCCCAACGATGATGAAGAGGACAAAATCATCAAACAAATCCAAGAAAATATGAACAAATTGGAAGCAAATGTGACCGATTTATATTCAAAAGGTACACATGTTAGTGGAGAAACCATGGATATCTTAGACATTTTAATGATCACTTTGTTGCCAATAATCAATGGTGTTGAAGAGGCTATTTCTATCAAATTCATACTCCCTGAAAAATTTCCCTTTGCTTTTTCATGGATGAAATCCGGTGATGGACTTCCAATTGTTCAAGAATCTGCTCCAAATCATGAAAACTTGGTCAAGTTTCTGAGAAAACTTAGACAACTATTTAGAAAAGTGTAATTTTCTCCAACTTATTGACATCAATTTTATGTTCTACAGAGTACTTTATTTTTATTATCAAGGAAAGATTTGACTATATGTTAGTTAATTGCGTATTAATTAAATTAAATTGTTGATGTATATATGTAACAGTTTGTCATGTCTCTAAGAAACATTATGTCTAGACCGATAATAGAAGGATAAAAGTACATCAAGAACTACGTCAAGATGAATTTGAACATTCTATGAAAAAACATGAAGGTTAATTATTTTTACATGCAATATGAGGATGCTAGACATATTGCTTAGGGCCTGTTCATATTTACTTATTTTCAGTTCAGTTTAGTTCAGCTCCAATCAGTTCAGTTCAGTTCAGTTCTAATCAGTTCAGTTCAGTTCAGTTTTATGCATTTTAATTTTTTCAGTTCAGTTCAGTTCAGCTCCAATCAGTTCAGTTCAGTTCAGTTCAGCTCAATTCAGTAAATATGAACAGGCCCTTAGTCCTTCACCACACTCCATTTCTTGAATAGAAGGCAACCTCAATACGAAGTTAATGGAATCCGGAAAATAACCATTGATATTGTCAAGGATGGCATCTATTTGTGGCCTCGCAATGGTAAAAGGTGAAGAAGAACCTATGAAACAATGGATATTGGATATGACAAAGGCCTTGTTTGGGTAAAGAGCTTTTTGAAAAGCTTGACCACTATTAGAGGTTTGACCATTTTAAAAAGCTAATTTGGGTGTTTGGTAAGTAGCTTATTTAAATAGTTTTTTGGATCCAAAATGAGCTTTTTGCAATTAGCTTATTGAAGAATTAGCTTTTCAGGTATTAAATACATTAAAACAGCTAATAATAAAAAGCTATCTACCAAACACTTTTACACAATCAGCTATATACAACTAGCTAGTCAAATAAACTAATATAACCGGCTAGTCAAACTTATAAATACAATCAGCTAATCACCAAACACGACAAACATCCTGCAAAACCTAGCTAATTCCTCAAATCATCACTATATTTTGACATAACTTACGAAAGATTATATTGTTGATTACTAAATTATTGAGGAGGAGAGGAATAGAGATAGAGAGCAAGTGGGGGTTGCAAGTTGAAAAACTTAACAAACAAACAAAGAGATAATCTTTTAAGGACACCATCTTTTGGTACTCCCTCTATCTCAAAATTAATGATCTGACATCTAAAACTTGGAATACATGTCAATGTATTAGTTTTTTGTCTCTAAAAGATTGTCACATATACTCCATCCGTCCCAAAATACTCGCACGTTTGACATTTTTTTCATTATTTATATCTTGTCTTTGACCATAGGTTTCTAATAATATATCATATACAAATTGATATCAAATTGGAGGGAGAAGTTGGTGCAGCACGATATATTTGACAATATTGATTGGTTGCTCAAATACAATCATTGTGGACAGGATGGCCAAGGTTAATCTTGTCAGATACAGTATTATCTCATGGGCTCATGGCCCCCTTTTAGGTAAGCCTAACTTTAGCCTCTACCAAACTAGTTATATCTACCAATATCAAAATTGCCACATTCATAAAACATCAAGGGAAGCATATAATCTATAGTTTCATATACCAAGTAAAACAATATTAGCAACAAAATTATGGCAGAGACAAAAGCAGAGGTGAAGTTACATGGCATGTGGGCAAGTCCTTGGGTAAGAAGGGTAACAATTGCCCTTAAAATTAAGGGTATATCCTATGATTACTTTGAAGAAGACATGAAAAACAAGAGTCAATTGCTCCTTTAGCATAATCCAGTTAAGAAGTTGGTTCCAGTTCTTGTTCATCAAGGTAGGCCTATTCCTAAATCTTTGGTCATTCTTGAATATATTGATGAGACTTGGACAAGTTCACCAAAACTCTTACCTTTTGATCCTTATCAACGAGCCAAAAAGTTCGGTTTTGGGTCAATTTTATCGACCTTTAGGTAATTATACTTAATATATACTTCGTATGTTTGTTGTTTAAATTATTGTGTAGCACTATTAGTACAATGTTGCATTTAATTTGTAACCTAGATTGATTGTGTTATTTTGTTGAACCACACTCAACATTATAGAGCTCATTTCTTAATACATTCAGCTAAACTTTCGTGTAGATCAATGCCTAATGTTGACAAAAATGACGTTCAATATCTCTAATAATCACATAAGCTTATAAACCTCGATGAGCTAATCCTTATATTATCAATCGATTATATGATGAAATCTATAAAATCTTGGTTCATGTAACGGATCTACAATTACAGAGTCACTAATTATTTATGTATGTGTGTACAGCTATTTGAGAAACTTCGTGAGGTTGTCAAAGCCCCCAATGATTATGAAGAGGACAAAATCATCAAAGAAATCCAAGAAAATATGAACAAATTGGAAGTAAATGTGAAGGATTTATATTCAGGAGGTACACATGTTAGTGGTGAAACCATGGATATCTTAGACATTTTGATGATCACTTTGTTGCCAATAATTAATGGTGTTGAAGAAGCTTTTTCTATCAAGTTCATACACCCTGAAAATTTTCCCTTGGCTTTTTCATGGATGAAATCCGGTGATGGAGTTTCAGTTGTTCAAGAGTCTGCTCCAAAACATGAAAATCTGGTCAAGTTTCTAAGAAAAATTAGACAATTTTTTTAGAACTATGTAATTTTCTTTAGTTCCCACATCAATTTTTTGCTCTACTTCCATCTTTATGATCTAAGAAAGAAATTAGACAAGGTGTACGTCTACGTGTTAAGTACACTATCAACTAGATAGGCAGGCTAAGCTGCTTTGATAAAAAAAAAATTAAACAAAATGATTGTTCGGATTGGATTTGATTGAGTTATTTAAATTGAATTTGAATCAGTTTAGCTCCATTCATTTAAATTATATCCGTGTTTTTTTTTTTTTTTTTTTTTGAAAACATATCCGTGTCTATTTTTACTTGGTTACTATGAAATACTATTCATAATTAGGCATTCGTTATTAAGGTCGGGCTACTTAATGCTTGAATATGAGCATATTTCCTAGATTTAGTGAGGAAACAGATGATTAATTTAAGACCATAATATATTAAATATTCATTAAGATTGTACTACTAAATTATAATGCACTAGCATATTACTGTAGTAGTCTTACTATGGGAAGAATCATAAGAAAATGATTGTTATCAAAACCCAATGATTCATAACCTAAGCCATTTTCTGATATTCATCATCAGAACAATGATTAGCAGTTCAGTATACCAAAAGATATTTAATCATGAATTCATGATTGTCAGGATCTTGTTCATAATGTACTAGTTTCACTTAAACTATATGCTAAGAAATAGTAACGTATGAATCAATCAAGTTTTTGACATAAAACTAATTTAACTACAATTTATAAGCAGATACAGAGCATGCTCTGGCCCTGTGATCTTTAAAATTTTGGTTTAAGATATTATATGGTATTTAGAGACTGTTCCACACAAAAAACTTGATTTCATTAGCAAACACAACACTTCATACAAAGCTACAAGCCCTCGACGTATGCGTGCTTATGCACAATATTGCACATGACTAATCACACTAAATGACTTGTACGAACAAAAACAATTACCAGTTCTTATGTTATTAGAAATACACATCACCTGTTCTCAGCATCAGAGAATAAATTAGTTACTATAAGACTCGAGACTATGATTGCAAAGCTTAATTTTCGCTAACTAGCACCCCTTCCCCTTGTGATGCTTCCCAAGTTTATGATAGTGATTTTTTTTATCCTTTTTCGTTTTCCTATTGGGTGATGAAAGTGGAGGAATACTCTGCTCATGCCTAAAGAAGTTCTCTGGATCGAATTTCGTCTTGATTTTCACCAACCTATCGAAGTTATTCTTGTAATACTTCAAACCCCAAGCGCGAGCCTCATTAACATTAGTGTTACCATCCTTGTTCATACCCAAATCGAGATCCCTATAGTTAACATAAGCTTCCCTAGGGTTCTTAGACACATAAGGCTCCATAAATTGATACAAGTCCCTAATCCAAGCCATGCTTGATTTCGCGCTAACCTCACCATCCATCCAGGTTGCAACATACTGGATCTTGTAGATAGTCCCCTTTCTATGAGGGAACGGGGTGTCAGACTCTGGTACCCTACTCATCATCCCACCATAAGGATTCCATATCATGATGTAGCTTTCTGCCTCCATCAACTTCTTCCATAGTCCTTCAAGCCCGGCCTCAGGGATTGGTTCCCTAACGAAATCTGACTTGGCCTTAAAGTAGTTCCTAAACAAAGGTTTCGCTTGGAGCAAAACATCAGTGCTAGTCCCGGTAGGGTACCCTCCAATATAGACAACTGACTCGATCCAACTCATTTCATTGCAGTCTTGTTTAGTCAGGCCTAATTCAGGAAAAGTTTGGGCCATGGACCTAAGCAATTGATTCGCGCTGCCTAAATACAGCGCGTTAAATAAGGCTTGTACAGTCTTCTGAGTGGTGTTGGGGATTGTACCAGGCATGATCTCTACCCTGATAAAGAGATTTTCATCAAGTTTATCAGCTGCCACTTGCTGCCACTTAGTCAAGAGCTTTGTCAAACCTTGGTCTAACGTTTTTATGACTGTAAATGTTGTTACAGTCTCAGGAACAGGTACAAGTTTAACCTTCCATGCTAAAATTACCCCAAAACTACCACCACCAGCACCTCTGACAGCCCAAAACAGGTCCTCCCCCATTGATGCTCGGTCGAGGATCTTCCCGTTAGGATCCACCAACCGAACATCAATCACATTATCAACTCCTAGACCATATTTTCTCATCATAGAGCCATAAGCTCCACCAGTAATATGACCACCTATACCCAAACTGGTGCACAGTCCTGCAGGAAATCCGTGCACCTTACTCTGCTCAGATATCCTATAGTAAAGCTCCCCAGTCGTAGCCCCAGCCTCAGCCCACGCACTGTTATCGTCGATATCAACTATAACAGACCGCAATTTCGACATGTCAATAACAACAAATGGATCACCCATCTCAGAGGCATAAGAAACACCCTCATAGTCGTGCCCCCCACTACGTACCCTTAGCTGAATCCCAAGCTTTTTGGCACATACAACAGCAGCTTGTACATGGGATTCATCTAAGGGCATGTAGATCAGCTGTGGTTTTTCAACTGAAGGTAACAAATACCTTAAGTTATTCGCGGTCGAGTTGAGTATAGCAGTGAAGGAATTATTGTTAGGAGTGAAACATGATGTAGGAAATGGGTTGGGTGGACTAATGTTCTTAGAAAGACAATGAAGAAAATTAGCTTGGACATCATTTGAATATGCTAAAGATGAACATAGTGAGAAAGTTAGGAGCAATGTTAGTGGAATAACACTACTAAAAAAACCCATGATTTTATTCTATGATATGATCTTAGCTTATGTATTTTTTGAGGGAGAAGTTGTGAATAAAATTGGTTATGGTAAGGTAGTATTTATATGAGTTTTATGATGACTTTTAATTGAGGTAATGCAATCGTCATGCTTTGATTATTATTACATTGGTGTTTAAATTTGTGTTTTATAGTCAATGTTATGAAAAAGTTGTGAAAATGGAAAAAATGGATGGAGTTGCATGTATGTCCACTTTAAAGTGGGGATTGTGGGATAAAATTTGGTCAATAGTTTATACAGTGGTAAAGAGTGATTGTAATCATGGGTTGTTATAATATTGTGATTAATAAGATAAGAAAATTTGGAGTGCAAGTTTTCCCACAATTTAGGCCACAATCTTGAAGCCTCCAATCCAACTTTGGTAATGAGACAATTGAGTTCCAGACTATGATGTCAATTGTAAAGTGTTTTCGATTAATTATTTCATTTATTTAGATACAGAGGGATATTTTTTATTTTTTGTTTATTTGTCTCGATAATTCTCATTATATTTTATGTTCTTTTCTCTTAATATTAGTATTTTTTGTAAGTGTTTTTTAATAAAAAAATTCGTCTCACTTACCAATGTTATTATTTTCACTTCGGTTGAATTGCATGTTTTTGTGTACCCAAATTTACTCTATTAATTTAAATTATTGCAATGTTGTTTTATTTATTGATTATTATTTTCCAACTTTGCAACAATAATATCAATTCTTTGAGTGGTGTCAAAGAAATTGGATAGGCTTTCATTGCACAAGTTCATGTGAAATATTCAAATCCTTTGATGAATGATTATTGTCATCATACTACAAGCCTATAAAAGTCATGCAGAAGTGTTAGATTTTATGATGTAAATTTGTTATATTAAATTCATAATTGATCAAATTTTATGTTTATTGTAGTAATCATATATATATCATTGGAAATCAAAGAAAAAGATTTAGATAAAATTAAGAATATAATAGTGCATAAGGTGAGTGTAAATCCACAACTTAATTAAGTAATGGCCTAATAAATAATTTTATACACTTGCTAGTATTATATATGTTGATCCCATGCGTTGAAGACAAGAGATTATGGCATAATTAACCTTTGAGGTTTCTTGGGGTTGTAATTTTGTAAGTTCTTATCTATAAAACATTATCATAATTTGATGCTAATTAAACTAGATAAAGTTGTAATTAGTGGAAGTTGGTTTAAGAGATTCCTCAATTCTTAATAATTTCCAAGCATTCATTAATTTAGATTATAGTATCTACCTTAATTTTGGACCATTGTCATGTGCACAAACTCCACTTATCATTCTTCCTTTACAAGTTCACGCTAATCACCCAAAAAGTTACACCAATACTATTGTTAATGCAAAATTATCTATGTGATGTTTCTTGCTAATTATGTTGTTGGTTGATTGATGAACTAATAAAAAAGTTACGTGCACCAAAAAATATTACTAACAGTTAGCTAAATAAGGAAGTTATTATAGTTTATTAAGCACATCGCTGTTTGATGGTAATACGTACAAATGAATGTAGCTTTTTGTATATATATTTATATGGTCATATGATTAATTATTTGATTTTCAATTATATGAAGTGGAAATGTGGAATTACATGATAAGACCAGGACCCTCCTCGTGAATCCCCCAATTAACTTTAAAAAGATAATTCTAGAAAAATTCAGGTGTCATATACATAAAATGAATCTGTTAATCTGCTATGGATGTGTGCTTCATTATTTCTAAATTTACAAGGATTGATTATTTTGAAAGAATAAGTGAATTTTTTATGACATTTAAATATTTTAGGTGGATACTATTATCTCACTCCTTAGCATATATATTACGTATTACAAAATTTTTTAATGCGGCAGGAATTACTTGAGTTTTGGGGTTACTTGAGTTTCTCGCTTAGGGGTTACTTGAGTTTTTCGATTAGGGGTTTACTTGAGTTTTCGGAGTTACTTGAGTTTCTCGGTCATGAGTTACTTAAGATTTTTGGCCAGGGGTTAGTTGAGTTGCCGGGATTATTCAAGTTTCTCGATCAGGGGTTACTCGAGTCACAATTTTTGTATGCGGCCTGACCGAAAAACTCGAGTAACCCCTGACTGAGTAACTATTAACCGAGTGAACCCCTATCCGCATCCCTCATGTAACCCTTGACCGAGTTCCTCAAGTAACCCCTGATTGAAAAACTCTGATAACCCCTAACAAAAAAACTCTGATAACCCTTGTCGCATGATATAGCCTGCTGCACCAAAATATTGATAATTACACAATAGAGGTTTCCGTGGAGAAATAGTCGTGACTCGTGAAGTTTTATGTTCTTGCTCCTATATTATTACTCATTTTTCTTTTGTTCTATTTTACTTTTTGTCATAGGGTTTTTTTCCAACCTTTTTCTACCTTATTTTTTTTTAACAGCCAATTTTTTAACCCTCTTACCCCATAAATTCACCTTTTCACTAAATTTCTTTAATTTGATCTTTCTTACATACACATACCCAAAAATTTTAACTTTGTCTCTTTTACTGTATGGTAGTATGTCTATAGTATTTTAGTGTATTGCACAGATCAAATAACCAATTACTTGTGTGTTGTTTTCCTCAAAAAATTACTTGTGTGTTGTTGAAATATTATATTTAAGATGTGTTGCATGCATACGCGATAAGGTCCACACTAATTTAAAGCCAAAAACCACGGCAATTAGAAAATAAAATTTGGATGATAAGGGCTGATTGCAACTTATTAGCATTCATTAAGTGTACTTGATAAGGTAAATTTGTGTTCTCATGATTGAAGACTAGTCCATTAAGCCACCTTGATGAAGGGATTAAAGAGGTAATTATTGCACATAATCCAAGTGTGCACTCATAACCAAACTTTGTAATTGATAAATTGATGAAATTTTTTTATAATCCAAAAAATTAAAAAGTAAAAGGATGTGAAATGACTTAAACTTTTCCTGGGTCCCAATCTTCCAAACATAGTCATAGAGTTAGACTTATAAAGGTGAATAAACTTGTTCGTTTTCCTAAGGGTGAGGGCCTAATATGTTTTACAAAAGCATGTTATTTTTAGAGAAAGATCAACCTTCAATAATACTCCTCACCTACTAAAGAAACTAAATTGATGTCTTTCACATTTATTCCCCAACAAGGAAGCTATGGTTGGCTTTATTATCTTCATGTAATTATAAATTTTAAAGTATTACATTTTTATATTGGCAAAAATGTTAAAGAAAATAAATTTAGATCATTAAGATTGTGTTTATACCTTCACAACTTTTGACTCAAATTTAATTAATGGTAAACATTGTCCCATGTTGTGTATTGTTATATTCTCGGCCTTTATGTTAATTTATTCACAATAATAATTTTAGTTTGACATGTAGTATAAAGATATTGTAGGGTAGAAAGACGGACAATCCTAGAGAAAATATCATAATATAAAGTATAGTTAGTGTTCGATTTATTGTAGTTCTAAATTGAATTCAATCTGATATTATTAATCTACACCCTTAAAACTAAAAACAGAGTACAAAATATGTTAGACATAGACAATCAAGAAAACAGTTAATGAAATTAGCTAAAAAACACAAACATAAATAGTCAAAATATAATTGGTTGTCAATGTCAACAAAAGATTTTGGATACCCCTTTTCAAATGGGGTGGTCCAAAATTGGTACTATACTTCAATTGATCAAACCCACATAAATTGTTGTGCAGTAAAACTTTTAGGTGAAATACCAACATTCTTTGTATCAAGTTTTAACTATTTTTAAATAATTTATTAAATTGTGTTATGTGGACTAGTGGGAAATGGACACAAATATAGGTCCATGATACACTCTTGTAATAATTTGGCGCATCTTAAATTCCAAAATCATCAGCGTATCCGTTAAGCATGGGAGGCTCCCCCCGACATGGAGCTGGAGAAAAATTGGTATGTACCATACTAGTACAACTACCATTGGACTATTGTACACCCTTTATGTCTCGGCAACCGTATTTGTATCTTTGTGTAATTTTTAAACAACTAAAAATACCTTCCAATTCGATTTTAGAATGCATAAATTTATACAGTGTCTATTTTTTTACGGATTAAGAGACCCTCTTTACTAGAGGAACTCCTAACGCCACTATTTTTTGCAATAGTGCATGTTACTTTTACTATGTTACATTAATACGGAGTAGTATATAATGATATATTATACATTTACTATAGAATGTTCGTTACAATATAGGAGTAACTCTTACTCCGTATAAAGCAAACTTTGATGAAGCAAAGCATCTGCCATTTGAAAATGCACTAGCTTGAGTGAAATTTAGGGTGCAAGATGTTGTATGGCAACTTTCAAAAAAGTAAAGTCTTTCTTTTTTAAATAAAATGTGTAGAAAAAGAAAATCTTGAAGTCTTCTAAAGTTCCAGCTAACAAAGTCATCCAGTGGACAACGTGTGGAATTAAGAAAAAGAAGAAAAAAAATATCATGGAATTAAGTAATTTTTAAAGAAAATAAACCTCAATTAAAGTTGAATCTTAAGGTTGTTTTCCATGTTCAAATCCAAATTTGATGTTTTGGTCAAAAAGTATGTTCTATGTTATAATTTTGGCTTTTAATGAAAGATTAAGCTTAATGTCTATGATTATTATGGCTTAATGGGTTGCCATTGTAAAATGGTTACATCCTCAAAGTCAGTCACCTAATAATATGTCTTGATTTGATGTGATTTTACCGCAGCTCATCATGCCAGATTGCCCGGATGCTTACTCAATGCATGTTTTATTACTGACCTTTGTTGGCCTAGTACTCCCTCTGATCCACAAAACATCTAGTTGTGAAATACAATTGGAAACTAGCATTCTTTTCCGGTTTGAAGAGACAGGTTTAGTTTACTCTTCGAGAGAGCTTCATATGTCTCCACACTACAGCCTTCTATCAAGAGCTTGGCTGTGTATAACGTAATCATTTTTCCAAATAAATTTTGTAATAAAAGTATCTTTTAGACATGTAGTAGTCACTATTCAGAAAATTGTTTTGACTAAGCAAGTATAGCTTTACAAGGATTGAATTTTGCCCTAATTTTTTAAATTCTTAGCAAGTACTTTACAAAGTACTAGTTATTTCTGAAGTGTGGTAAGCAGTATTCAGCTAATTTATCTAATACCCTAGCAATAGATAGCATACAATTAACACAACATAGAGTGATAGAATTATATGCATCTCGTCATGCAGATAGATATGAGCTTTTCCCGCTAGCATACCTGTATGGGTTGCTGCATCTGCTTAGGCTGCGGAACCAAATTTGAATGTCTGAATCTGCTATGCTATCAATCCATGCTGCTGCAGAGAATTGGGTTAGCCATAGTAACCTGATGATCTAACCCATGGAGATCAAGCACTCTTCAACTATGAGTAGCTTGTGCTTTCCTCCTGTTTGTTTCAACATGTTCTGGCAAACGGTCATATACATTGACTGGTGAACAGTTGAGCAAGGAATCTGACAAAAAAAAAAATCTCAGATCGGGATAACAAGATAAATGAGATAATAGGGGAGAGAGTGAGGGAGGGGAGACTTAAACATTAAGGGCCATACAACAAAATTATTTCCACAACAAAATGCAATGATAATGGGATTCAACCCACAAACTCATGGTTTGAGATAATAGTACCAAATGACCACCCCACAGAACTTCCAGTCCATACTCATAGGCTTGTGTGATTAGTCAAAACAGTCTTATAACACAGATTTTCCTTATTCCAAACTTATTTAGTAATACTCTAATGCACTTATGCTCAAATCATCGAGTAGCAGTTACCTCATGTACACAGATTGTAATTCTCGGAAGCAAACAGATTGATACAGCATTAGTTTCCAGCCTCCATATAGCCTCTGCATTCCAAAACAGTTCTAATTATAATAAGTAATTAGGTATTCTATACTCATATATGATATTTTTTACTCTTAATAATTTCATATGACAATGCAACTTGAAAGAGAAATAAATTATAATCAGTAAATGTCCCTTATCAAATAGCTTGACCATTTTCTTTTAAGAAGACACCATAAGTTCTGAAGTTAAACCATATTAGTATCCATCCAGCTGAACAAATGAAGAAAATTAAGCAGTGTACAATGCTACAAGCTTACTTAATAAGTAATTATGGGAATCAGAAGCAGTAGGGTCCAAATCATGGCAACCAGGTCCAACACAGCCAATATATTCATCAAACTGGAATGAAAATTCTAGAAGGGAATTCATGCACAAATGGCATAGTTGATATTTACCTATTTGAACATCTGCTACCATCCAACAATGAGATCCTTTTATGATAGCTAATGTCATGGTAGCTTCTCCAAGGAAAAAAAATCAACCAATAAAAGACCTTCATACAAGGAAACGGCAGTGACTTATGGTTGCTGAATTTTGAAGAAACAAGCAAGACAACCACAGCTAAAGAAGATATAATTAGATAACGAATGTTAGCATTACCCCCATCTTCGTTCATGATATAGTTTTTTGTGTTCCAGGAGCATATGAAGGAAATTGTGCATAGGTTCCTAGTGCAATCATCAAATGACAATATCAAATGCTCACGAAAATCCTGCTGGAAGACACTTCAGAAACCTTCATGGAAGAATTTTCCTCAAAAGCTTTTTGTCTCTAACACCATCATATAGGAGTTCATATGTATAATAAGTTATATAGCTCTTCTTTAGCAAGTTCTCCACAATAATCTTTGGTGCTGCTATCTCCCTTTTAGTAGAGCTGAAAATACCCTCCACAATATCTGGAACAATACCTTCATGCACCATAATGTGGATAATTTTAACAGCTTCATGGATCTTTTGTTTCAAGCAAAGACAATTGAGTACCCTTCCACATATTGTGAGTGATGGCGTAAATCCCTTCTCAATCTTCTTCAGGAAGAATTTGTAGCCAGCATCGTCATTACCTGCCTTGCAGAATCCATCTACTAATGCACGATAAGTATAACTGTCTGGAGGGCAGCCCTTCTCAATCATCTCATGAAAAAGCCTCTGAGCCATGTCCATATTCAGTCTTTCACCAAATGCATTGATCACAATGTTGTATGTTGCTGTTGTATGTGAAAGTCCATATTGCTGGTAAATCTTTCTAAAAAGCTGGTATGCTCCATCCAAATCACCCTTCTTGCAATAACCATTTATCAATGTGCCAACAACTACAAGATCTGGTGTCAGACCCTTGCACCTCATTTCCGACAGCAACGCTAAGGCTTCATCTAGCTTATGAGCCTTGCAGAAGCTGTCCATAAGTATATTGTATGTAATACGGTTAGGGATGCACCCTTTTTCCACCATTGTTTCAAAAGTTCCCATTACAGCTTCAAATTTTGCAGCCTTGCAAAGCCCATCCAACAGAGTATTGTATGTAATAACATCTGGAGTAACACCATGATCCCACATTTTATCTACAAGTTCAATCGCCGTATCCAACTTCAACTGTTTGCAGTACCCATCAATTAGAGTATTAAAAGTGAAAATGTCAGGTAAACATCCTCTTGCAATAGCGTCATCCACCAGGTTATTCGCATCAGACAAGCAACCCATTTTGCATAGTCCATTTATCACTGTATTATATGTCCATATATTGGGGGAGCAACCAGCTCTCGCCATATCATTTATCATCTGTAATGCTTCAAGAATCAGACCCTGTTGTGATAGGCCTTTGATCAAAGTGTTGTACACAATAACTTTTTCCTTCAATCCCTTCGTCTCAGCCTCATTGAATATGAACATGGCTCTCTCAACATCACCATTCTTACATAAGCCATCAATTAAAGAGCAATATGTGTATTCATCAGGTGCAAATCCTCTGTATTTAGCATTATGGAGTACCATCTCTGCATTTTGTACCATGTCTAGTTTGCAGTAAGCATCAATGATGGAGTTGTATGTGAAAGAATCTGGATCAAACCCTTTATTAATCATTTGATGCAGATAGCGTTCAGCATCAACAGCCCCCGTATTTTTACATAGTCCACGTATCAGTAAGTTGTATGTCACTACATCTGGAGTAAAACCCTCAGTCATGATGTTATCCAGTAAACCAGTAGCTTCACTGACTGAATTATTCTCACAAAAGCCTTCAATAAAGATATTGAAAGTAAACAAATTTGGTGAAGTCCCCCGCTTGAAAACCTTACTAAAAAGCCTTAGACTTTCTTGGACATCACCCTTCCTACAGAGAACATGTATCAGCTTGTTAAATGTAAAAATATCAGGGCAAAGTCCAAGGCTAAGCATCTGACAAAACAACTTTGACGCTTCAACTCCATATTCTTGTTCATAAAGACCACCAATGAGGGTACAATATGCAACTGCATTGGCGTCGCACCCATGAGAAGGCATGTTCTTAAGAAGCCTCAAAGCAGCATTAAACTTCTCAGTCCTACAAAAATACTTAATCCTGATAGTATAGGTGTAAACATCAGGACAAATCCCTTTATCTCTTAACCTCAAATAAACTTTATGAGCTTGATTGAAGTAACCATGTTCAACCAAGATATTCATGATGGCATTATACGACATAACTGACGGTTCACATTCGTAAAAATCCATCTTCTCAAACACATCAACAGCCTGTTGAAGTTTCCCTTTCTTTCCATAATTCTTCATTGCCCCAATGTACACTCCTTCCACAATCCTATTATCAATATCCATTCTCATATCCGAAAGCAAAGCCTCCATAGCTTCAAATTTCCCATATGAACCAAGCTTATCTATCATACATTTATATGTCAGCAAATTATGCTTGAACCCCTCCTCATTTTTAACTGATTTAAACGTTTCGAGCGCCTTCAAAGGATCTTTCTGATGTTTTATAACAGCTGCTACATGTTTTGCTAATAAGGGTCTACTCATTACAAAGAAAATCTCCCTAATCCCAAATTTCAAGCTTCACCCTTTTTAACCATTCAAAACCAATACCATGAAACAGGGCAAAACAGAACCACTGTCATTTCATCGAACAGGTGGTGGGCACAAATCCAAACAAGAAAAAGCAATAGAAATCACAATTAGCAATACCCAGAAGTTATTTCTTCTTGATTAGACATTCAATTGAACGTATATAAATTGATTTTCGTAGAATATGGAGTTTTCGAGTTTAAAAATGATAAACAAACAGGTGAAAATTCAAAATTGAATCAGAAATTTAGAATGTACCTGGAATTAAGATAGTGAGGTTTATACCAATAAAAGAAAGTGGGTAATTGAATGAATGAAGCAAGATGAACTGAAATTAAATTGATGAAAGGTGGAAATACAAGTTCAATACCGAGAGTGAGGCAGAGGTTAGAGAAAGCTTAGAAAAGGGAAACACAGAGTATACAACGGCAGAACTTATTGTTCAAACCAAACACATGAAATTGAAACCGGTTCATCTTGGCATTTTCGTAAAATATCAACAAAACATTTCACTTAGCATGACATCTTCGTAAATAAGTTAACAACTTATATAAAAATGGGTCCCATAAATATTGACTTTTATAAAAATGAGTAATTGGAATGTTTTGTTGATTTATTTACAAAAATGTTAGATAAACTTGTATTGTCTTGGAGATGAGACCAATAAAATCGTTTTAACTAGTTATAGCCTTATAGGATTTTTTTTCTATACTTGGAAATTCTCCTAGGTATGAAAATAGAGTGGTATAAACTTTGAAACACATACAATCATTGTATTTTGTCCCTATATACAACACCATTAGAAATTTGACACATCATCAGAAAAAGGGAAGAAAATTAGAAATCAAATATAAATTGAATGTAATGGAACTTGGGCCCATTATTCTAGCCAATAAAAATATGACAAATTAGAGTTGTATGTGTAGCATTTTCTATTTTTCCTTATATGGCCTTAAACATTTATTTGGGGAGCAAAATGTTAAGAAATTTTCGAAGTAACAAGCACAATCAACAAGGAAATTCAGGCGAACTTAATGAACCAAACAATACCGCAAAAATCACAAACCCCCCAAAAGTGCCCAAACTTTAAAGGAAAAATTGTCCGCAATAATCCAACCTTTTGCCCGTCCGCTGAAAATAATCTCACCTTTGGATTATTTTTTAATAATCCCACTTTTACCCCCCGATCTTTTTTATTGGTCCCAACCGGTTAGTTAACTTGTTATAGCAAGTTACTAGCCACGTGTTGGCACCCAATTAGTCCAAAAAATAAAATTTAAAAAAAAACAAAAAAAAAACAATTAATTAATTTAGAAACCACCCACCAGCCAAACCACCTCCCCTGCCACCAATCCGGCGTGCCGGCCTCCCCTGCCACCAATCCCAGCGCGTCGGCCTCCCCTGCCATCCCTCCCCTGAACCACAGTCGAACCCCCTTCCCTGAACCACCCTCGAACCCCACCCTCCCTCACGAACCTCCACATGAACCACCCTTGAATCCTCACGAAACCAAGCCAACCCCCAACCGGCCAACCCCATTCACGCGGCTCCGGCTTACCCTCCCCCTCCTATGAACCACCAATTCTCTCCCTCACTCTTACCCCCGTGAAAACCCAACCCTTAAACCCAGGCTCCGTCCGCGAAAAACCCACCAACTCCCTTAACCGTCGTCCTCCCCATCCCCAGATTCTGGTAGCGTCGCGTCTCCCCCGCCCACCGTTTCCAGCCGCGTCGTCGTCGTCCACAGAGGAGGGGTTAGGTTAAATGGTTAATGGGGTTAAGGGGTTGCCGATTGGGTTAATGGGTAATTGGGTTTAGGTTGGCTTGGCTCGGTGGGATTCCAATCATCTTGGTGGTTTCGAGTGTGGGTGGGATAGTGGTTCTAAGGTTTAGGTTGGGTGGTGGTGGCTGAATTGGGGTGGCTTAGGTGGTGGTGGTGGTTTTTTTACTACTTTTTTATTTTTATTGTTTTGACTAATCAAGGAGCGACGCGTGTAAATTCTACTTTTTTTATAAAAAAAAATTACCTGCTCAACTGGTTCCAAGTAAAATGAGACCATTTATAGCGGAATGGGTATAAAGGTGGGAGTATTAAAAAATAATCCAAAGGTGGGATTATTTTCAGCGAACAGCCCAAAGGTGGGATTATTCCGGACAATTTTTCCAACTTTAAAACCCATAAAATGTGCTTAACAAACTTTCATATTTCCCCATATTAACTTAACAAACCCTGATTATAACAAGGAAAAAAAATACATTAGAAAGCATCAAACTGCAAAGATCCATTAAATAGAAAACTAGTTATTGGCCTGGGCGATGCCCCGTATCATTATAATTTTATAAGTTTGATCAAAACTAAATTTATAACATTAATGTTCAGCCAACTTTATAATTAAGTGAATGAATATATAATAATAGTAATTATTTAATTGCATTGATATATATAGGATGTATCAAATTTTTATTATTTCATATATCTGCTACTAAATATTACTCTATACCTACTGTATATGATAAAATGCACATAAAAATAAAGATGCATGACTCAAAATTTTAATAAAATATCATGAGCGAATATTATGCAGGGGCGGATCTATTAAGGTGCACAGTGAGTCACGTGACTCACCAGCACACAAAAAAAAAAAAAAAAAAAAAAAAAAAAAAAAAACACTAAGAGACCGTCTATTACAGATAGGCGGTCTCTTTGTTTCTTCTATTTGAGATTAGTCCACTGTCAGTTTTTTAAATATCAAAGAGACCGCCTATTAAAATATCAGATAGGTGGTCTCTTTGTTGCTGCTATTGCCACCACGTCATTAGAGACCTTTTCTAGATAACAGGTCTCTTTTTGTCAGCCATTAGAATAATTTTTTGCGCTGCTTTCATTATCATTAAAGAGACCTGTTATATTTAATAACCGGTCTCTTAAGTTATCTTACTTTTTAAAAATAATTCTTATTTTTAAGTAAAAAATCATAAAGTTAGTTTAATGTAATAGTTTTATAGTATGTATTTTTATATCCTACTAGCATAGTGCCCGTGCGATGCACGGATTATAAATCAAATTATTAAACTCGTAGGAAAAATAAAAATAAAAACAAAGGTAATTCATTTACTATTAAAGGACTTGTACTAATGGTCAATAAAAAAAATTAAAGGAACGTTATTTGAATAGTATTTTATGTTATTTGAATTTCTTTTAATTTTTTATAATGTTATTTTATTAATTGAAAAATAATTGAATAATACTCCACATAGCTATATAAGAAGTGGACTAATTTATTTATATCTCCCGTTGAGAAAAAACTAAAATTTTCTTATCATACCATCCGCATCAGTTGCTACAATCAATCTAATATATACATGTTTTATTTACCCGTCTCACTCATTAAATCTATAGACACAATGATAACCTTATATTTGACCTACCAGAACATATATTTTCCTAAGTTAAGCATTGTGCCAAAACATATATATTATATAATAGTCATATATATAACCAACAATTGATTAAATATAGTATACGACACAAATACTTCGTATATAGGTATGGATACTGATAATTTTATATAAATAAAATATACGGAGTATATATTACTAAGATTTATCCCTACCTTAATTATAAAAAGGTTAACAAAACTCTTATAATAGTGCATGGACAGTTATATATCTAAAAATGTTCTTTTTACATATATTTTCCCCCATTTAATTTTAAATGCCTTAAAATTGTCTCTTGAATTCGCTAAATTGATTTAAAAGGTTGTGTTTATTTCAATATTTAAAGCCATTTACTATTTTCATTTCCTTTTGTTTTAATTTTTCTATTTAGAAATTATTAGACTATTAGGTTTCAAGATCGAAGTCAATATCTTTTTACCGTACAATCACTAAATCAAAGTCGCTCAACTAAAGTTTTGGACATTGCATAGCTACACAACATCCAACACATTTAATGATTACATGCAAATAATTTTAATAAAACTACGCATTCGATATAAGTTATTAAACAATTTAACTATATATACATTTTGATAGGTTTATATCTTTCATATTAACAAAAATTTACAAATGTTATTATCATATTTTGAAAAAAAAAGACTTTGGAGTTTTGTATAAGATAGATAAAGGATAAGTTAATTCCCGTCATATATGCATTGAGTTTTGGGTGTTCTATCCGGTTCACCCTTTGGGCTAATCCAGATTTGAGGATAAGTTCTAGGTTATTAGGTTCCACTCCCTTTTCGATTGTTGTTGCAGGGGAGCACACAGGTCCTCCCTACCAAATGTAGTCTCAATCACCACTACACCAACAACCAATTGGTGTAGTGGTGATTGGTACTACACTTGGAATGGAGGACACGTGTTATAAAATATTATATTATATACATATACTTTTTTATATTATAAAAAATATTATATTATATACACATACTATTATAGTTAAAAGTATTATTATGTATAAAACAACATAAATTATTGCACATGATTGTTATATATCTAGTATAGTACATGAGCAATGCACGACTTTTAAATTAAATCAAAATGTTAGTTTTTCTAAAAAAAATCATAATTAATAGCATTGTTAATACGAATATTACAATTTAAAACATGAGTAATAGTTATAATACATTTTATATCTATTCCTTTTCCGTCAAATGTCTAATTCAATTTAACTTTTATTCCTCTTGTTTAGATTGGTTATTGGTTCAGGTTTTTTTTTTTTTTTTTTTTTTTTTTAATGCAAGAAAAAACAAAAGGTCATTGTAAAATATATTGTATAGAAAATGAAAGGCCGATTAAAATTAAATTTATGTTCAAGATTATGTATTTTTTTCCAAAACAACATTTCAGCTCAACATTCAGTGTTTGTCAAGGAGTACAACAAACAATAAAAGTAATTTTTACACTATTTTGTATCTTTATCAAAAACTTTTGTATTCATCCGATTACTTGAATTGAATTTAGGATAACTTGTAGACTATTTTGGGTAACTTTTATCAATAAAGCATAAATAACTTTCATTCATTACAGGGTAGCTTTTATAATAGGTGCACAATATTTTATTGTACATCTAATTTTTTTAAAATGTTTGTATTTATTTCATAATTGACGTCAAACTAAATATTATCGATTTTATTTAATTTTCATTAAAAAAAAAACAATATTAGCCTTTCAAAATGCGAAATATTTGTTTCCTTAATTATGCTACTTTAATCATATTGCTTCAAATTAGTTATTATTCTTTAACTTAACTATAAATAAAGATTGGAAATATTTTATGGATTATTTGTAGTATTTTTGTCAAAAATAACACCACCTTTGGACGGTCTTCCCAAAATAAAACCACCTTTTGATTATCCCGTAATAACACGACCTTTGATAACCATCTGCCAAAAATAGAATGCTACCGGCTGATAACCTATTGAACAGGTTGATGAGAC